AAGGACACTATATCATAATAAAAGGGTCTATCCAAAAAGAAGATCTAACAACTGTAAATATTTATGCCCCTAACTTGGGAGCAGCCAATTGTATAAACCAATTAAGAACAAAATAAAAGAAACACAATGATAAGGATACATTAATAGTAGTGGACTGCAACCTCCCCTCACTGAAATGGACAGATCATCCAAGCAGAAGATCAAGGAAACAAGGGCTTTGAATGACACACTGGACCAGATGGACTTCACAGATATACTCAGAGCATTTCATCCTAAAGCAACATAATAAACATTCTTCTTGTGTTTGCATGGAACATTCTCCAGAATAGATCACATACTGTGTGACAAATCAGGTCTCAACTGGTAGCAAAAGACTGGAATTATTCCGTGTATATTTTCAGAGAACAAGGCTTTAAAACTTGAACTCAATCACAAAAGAAAACTTGGAAGGAACACAAACACTTAAAGGTTAAAGAGTGAATAGTGAAATATTTATTCATACTGAAGAATGAATAGGTCAACCAGGAAATTAAAGAAGAATTTTTTTAAAATCATGAAACAGGGCGCCTGGGTGGCTCAGTTGGTTAAGCAACTGCCTTCGGCTCAGGTCATGATCCTGGAGTCCCAGGATCGAGTCCTGCATCGGGCTCCCTGCTCGGCGGGGAGTCTGCTTCTCCCTCTGCCCTCTTCCCTCTCATGCTGTCTCTCATTCTCTCTCTCTCAAATAAATAAATAAAATCTTAAAAAAAAAAAGATTTAAAAAATAAATAAATAAAATAAAAATCATGAAACAAATCAAAATAAAAAAATACAACAGTTCAGAACCTTTGGGTGTAGCAAAGGTAACCCTAAGAGGGAAATATTTACCAATGCAATTCTTTACCAAGAAACAAGAGAAGTCTCAAATACACAGCCTAATCTTACACCTAAGGAGCTGGAGAAAGAACAGCAAATAAACCCCAAATCCAGAAGGAGAAGAGAAAATAAAGATTAGAGCAGAAATCAATGAAATAGAAAGCAAAAGAAGAGTAGAACAGATCAATGAAAACAGGAGCTAGTTCTTTGAAAGATTTAATAAGATCAATAAACCCCTAGCCGGACTTCTCAAAAAGAAAAGAGAAAGGACCCAAATAAATAAAATCATAAATGAAAGAGGAGAGATCACAACCAAAACTGAAGAAATACAATTATAAGAACATATTATGAGCGGGCGCCTGGGTGGCTCAGTCGGTTAAGCGACTGCCTTCGGCTCAGGTCATGATCCTGGAGTCCCGGGATCGAGTCCCGCATCGGGCTCCCTGCTCGGCGGGGAGTCTGCTTCGTCCTCTGACCCTATCCCCTCTCATGTGTTCTCTCTCTCTCAAATAAATAAATAAAATCTTAAAAAAAAAAAAAAAAGAACATATTATGAGCAAAAAACAAAAAACAACACATTTTATGAGCAATGTATGTCAACAAATTAGGCAATCTGGAAGAAATGAGTGCAGTCCTAGAAACATATAACCTATCAAAACTGAACAGGAAGAAACAGAACACCATAACCAGCAAAGAAATTGAAGCAGTAATAAAAAAATCTCCCAACAAACAGAAATCCAGGACTAGAGGGCCTCCCAGTGGAATTCTACGAAACATTTCAAGAACTAATTCGTATTCTTCTGAAGCTGTTTGAAAAAACAGTAATGAAAGGAAAACTTAACAAACTCATTCAGTGAGGGGTGCGTGGGTGGCTCAGTCAGTTAAACCAAACTCATTCAATGAGGCCAGCAATATTACCTTGATCCCCAAATCAAACAAAGACCCCACTAAAAATGAGATTTACAGACCAATATCCCTGATGGACGTGGATGCAAAGATTCTCACCAATACACTAGCCACTATGATCCAACAATATATTAAAAGGTTTATTTACCATGACCAAGTGGGATTTACTCCTGGGCTGCAAGGGTAGTTCAATATCCACAAATCAATCCATGTGATATACCACATTAATAAAAGAAAGGACAAGAACCATATGATCCTTTTTTTTTTTTTTAAATATTTTATTTATTTGACAGAGAGAGACACAGCAAGAGAGGGAACACAAGCAGGGGGAGTGGGAGAGGGAGAAGCAGGCTTCCCACTGAGCCAGGAGCCCGATGTGGGGCTCGATCCCAGGACCCTGGGATCATGACCTGAGCTGAAGGCAGACGCTTAATGACTGAGCCACCCAGGCGCCCCCCATATGATCCTCTTAATCGATGCAGAAAAAGCATTTGACAAAATACAGGATCCTTTCTTGATAAACACTCTCTGCAGTGTGGGGATAGAGGGAAAATACCTCAGTATCATAAAAGCCATATATGAAAATCCCACAGCGAATATCATGCTCAATGATGAAAAACTGAGAGCTTTCCCCCTAAGGTCAGGAACATTATAGGGATGTTCAATTTCACTACTATTGTTCAACATAGTACTAACAACTTCTTCCTAGACACATTGCCAAAGTCAAGGGAAGTCAGGGCAAAAAGGAACTATTGGGACTTCATCAAGATAAAAAGCTTTTGCACAGCAAAGGAAACTCGGTTGACAAAGCCAAAAGACAAAGGACAGAATGGGAGAAGATATTTGCAAATGTCTTATCAGATAAAGGACTAGTATGCAAAATCTATAAAGAACTTATCAAACTCAACACCCAAAGAACAAATAATCCAATCAAGAAAAGGGCAAAAGACATGAACAGATATTTCTCCAAAAAAGACATACAAATGGCCAAAAGACAGATGAAAAAATGCTCAACATCACCCAGCATCAGGGAAATACAAATCAAAAAACCACAATGAGATACCACCTCACACCAGTCAGAATGTGTAAAACAAGTCAGGAAACAACTGATGTTGGTGAGGATGCAGAGAAATGGGAAGCCCCTTACAGTGTTGGTGGGAATGCAAGCTGGTGCAGCCACTCTGGAAAACAGTATGGAGGCTCCTCAAGAAGTTGAAAATAGAGCTACCCTATGACCCAGCAATTGCATTACTCTGTATTTACCCAAAGGATACAATCATAGTAATCCAAAGGGGCTCCTGCAACCCAATGTTTCCAGGAGCAATGTCCCCAATAGCCAAAATATGGAGAGTCCAGATGCGCAGTGACAGCCAAATGGATAAAGAAGATGTTATATAGACGATGGAATATTACTCAGCCATCAGAAAAATGAAATCTTACCATTTGCAGTGATGTGGATGGAACTACAGGGTATTAGGCTAAATGAAATAAGTCCATCAGAGAAAGATTATTATCCTGTGATTTCACTCATATGTGAATTAAGAAACAAAACAGGGTCATAGGGGAAGGGAGGGAAAAATAAAATAGAAAATCAGAGAGGCAGACAAACCATAAGAGACTCATAACTATAGGAAACAAATTGAGGGTTGCTGGAGGGGAAGTGGGTGGGGGATGGGGTAATTGGGTGGTGGGCATTAAGGAGGGCACATGATGTAAAGGGCACTTGATGTTGTATGCAACTGATGAATCACTAAACACTACCACTGAAACTAGTAATACACTATATATTAATTTATTGAATGAAAAAAAATAAAGAAACTGACCTCTGTGCTTCAGATCCAAAATATAACAGGAACACAGAGTTGGGGGTAAAGAGGAAGAGTAGCTTTATTGTTTTGCCAGCAAGGAGGCTGCAGCAGGTCAGGGTCTTCAAAACTGCAAGCCCGCCCAGAGGCAGGGGCTGGGGGTTTCGTAGGGAAATGCAGGATCTAGCCGGTTTCCACAGGAACTGTGTCTGTGTTGCTAGCCCTCTTAATCAAGTTGTCAGGGTGGAACCAGGTTCCTAAAATAGGCTCAGAGGTAGGAAGGGAGGTTTGCAGAAGCGAGAAAAAAAAGCTTATTTAGTTTGAAATGGAGTCTCACTGAAGCCTTAATGCAGCCATTTTGGTTTTTGTTCAACTTGATGCTTTTAAGTGGTTTCCGTTTCAGTCACCTTGACAACAATAGGAAGCCCACTTCATATTTTACAGTGAGAAACCAGTCAATATTTTCTAGAATGGGTAAAATAAAGAAAAAAGATAAAACACCAAATTTCAATGAGAATATTGATGAATTAGAATTCTCATATTGCTGATGGGAGGGTAAAAATTACATGCACTTTGCAAAACTGTGTGGCAGTTACTTATGAAAATAAATGTTTAGGAATATAGGAATACAGGAAAGGGCGCCTGGGTGGCTCAGATGGTTAAGCGTCTGCCTTCGGCTCAGGTCATGATCCCAGGGTCCTGGGATCGAGTCCCACATCGGGCTCCCTGCTCCTTGGTAGCCTGCTTCTCCCTCTGCCTCTCTCTCTCTGTCTCTCATGAATAAATAAATAAAAATCTAAAAAAAAAAAAAAAAAAGGAATACAGGAAAAGCTCTGAAACACAGTATATATTTCCTTTTGTGATAGATGTTTGTATTTATACAGGAAAGCTCCATTTATAAGGGTGTCTCCCTCCATGTAGCGGGAAGAGGGAGACTGTGTCAGTTTCCAGAAACTCTCATCAGTGGAGAAGGCATGGATCTAAATCTGCTCACAACCACAGCCTTGGTCACCGTGCTTTGCCTGGTCCCCTCCCCAAATGCTCCCCAGTAGGATCACGTGTGGAGTTTCAAAGATGATCATCACTGGTGCCCTCTGCCTCAGATTCTGTCAATTGGTTTGGGTGGAAACAACAGTGTTAATTAAGGGCTCCACGTGATTCTAAGTGCGGCCAGGTTTAAGCACGAGGGCTTCCTGTTATTTTGCAAAAGTTGAGAGCTGACTTTGGCTCAAGGAGAGGTAACAGGGTCTCTGCTACGTGAGTCTGGGAGGGTCAGGTCCTTGGAGCAGAGGGTTCCTAGGCTGTAGCTGAATTTGTGGGCATCTGTGGGAGGGGAGGCCCCCTGGAAGCAGAGAAGGAAAAGTCAGGGATTGGTCTTCAAGTAGGAGCTACTGACAAAACGGACTAGGAAGTTAGAACTTTTCTGCATTTCAGGATCCTGTCTTCAAGTGAGCGGTTTTACAGGTGAAGAGTTTCTATTGGTGGCTTTAATGGCATTTTCTCGTGATGGCAGCTGTGATTTCTCTACAGAAAGCTTGTGAGAAAGAAATCTAGAGGACGAAGTGAAAGAAGAAATGGCTAGTTCTCAGGTAAGCCTGGTGTCCCAAGTCAGAAGCCATGTAAGGTTTTTTTCCTGAAATTCCTGAAATTTGCAAATGCTGGTTCCTCTAGTTCTTATGTTTCTGCCTCATGTTTTCACCTATTTTTAAAATCTTTTCAGAAATGATACTCAAGGCTAGGTCTTTAGAACACTTCTCCCCAGTATCCCAGATCCTTCTCCCTTTTCTCCAACCTGGCTCCCAATAGGCCATCAATATTTGTCACTTTGAATTAAAGTCCTGCAAGTATTGAAAATATTCCTTGGTGACAAAACCAGAGGGGAAAGTGTTGAGTCCAAGATTCCTATTGCTGGTGAGGTCTGTTCCTGGGATTTCAGTGAAGGTAAACATCATTTAGATCCCACCTGGATACTTTATCAACTCTCTGTAGCCCAGAAGTAAGAAAATGCACAAATATACAGGATGGGTATGAGGTCTAGAATAACTCGCAAAGTTTTCGGACTGCAAATAGGTGTGGTGTGTGAGTCTTGTTCTTTAGAATGTGAAAAAGATGGTCTATTTAAAATATAATAGAGGGGCGCCTGGGTGGCTCAGTCGGTTAAGTGTTGGACTCTTGATTTCTGATCAGGTCGTGATCTCAGGGTCCTAGAATAGAGCCCCATTTCTGGCTCTGCATTCAGAGGCGAATCTGTTTGAGATTCTCTCTCCCTCTCCCCTGCCCCTCCCCGCCTCTCTCTCAAATATAAATAAATCTCTAAATAAAATTAGAATTAAAATAAAATAACTTCCCCAATAGACTTTCTGAAAGAGTTCCACCCCCAATATATTTCAGGAAAACCTATGTCTCGCTCCATGGCAATGGATTGGCAGATATGCAGGATGTAGCTTTAAGCTATTGGCGTTTCCTGCGCTCAGGGTCTACAGATGTGACAGAAACCCACTGCAAGTTCAGCATCTCCCTGTATCAGTTGGGGGTGGGGAGCTGACAAGTGAAATTAGTGTGATGAAGTTTATGGTTGTTACTGTGTCCTGAGCCATAACGTACTTTGCACTCTGCTAGGAGCCTCCTGTCTTCTGCCACGATTGGAAAATTGTGAGAGGCCAGCTTGTTACATTATAAAATGTGTGTAATCTTGGAATTTTTATGGTCCTCAAGATTATCCATGGACTTTATTCAAAACAAAATAGATATTTATGGGTCTGTTTCTACTCTTGTTTGTTCATTTGTTTTTAGTTTTGATTTTGTATATATGTGAATTCATATGGTATTTGGCCGCCTTTGACTTATTTCAAATAGCACAATACCTTCTGGGTCTATCCACATTGTCACAAATGTCAAGAAACAACAAAAAAACAGAAAGAGACCATAACAACCGTGGTTACCAGAGTGGAATGGAGAAGGATGATGGGCAAAATGGGGAAATGGGACTGGGAAGTACAGGCTTCCAGTTATGGAATTAGTAAGTCATAGGGGATAAGATACAACATAGGAAATACATTCAATGGTAGTATAATAGCATTTTATGGTGACAGATGGTCGCTCACTTGTGGTGAGCATAGTAGAACATACACAGTTGTCAAATCACCATGTTTTTCACATGAACTAACGTAACATTGAATGTCAAGTATACTTTAATAGAAAAGAAAGCAAAATAGGTACGGATAAGCTTATAGCTATACGAGTTAAACTACTTTCTTAAGAAGTTGTAGGAAGGGGCGCCTGGGTGGCTCAGTCGTTAAGCGTCTGCGTTCAGCTCAGGTCATGGTCCCAGGGTCCTGGGATCGAGCCCCGCGTCGGGCTCCCTGCTCTGCAGGGAGCCTGCTTCTCCCTCTCCCACTCTCCCTGCTTGTGTTCCCTCTCTCACTGTGTTTCTCTCTGTCAAATAAATAAATAAAGTCTTAAAAAAAAAAAAAAAGAAAATCCCCTGGGTACTGCAGTTATTTTCACTAATGAAAATAATTGTGGCAAACAGCAAAGCTCCATGCCTGATTATAGTATATTGATTCTAATACATTTTTCCCCACATTTTAAACAGCTCTTCAATCCATGAGGATTACACTCAATGGAATGTCACAGTTTAATTAACAGGGGATCTCCTCCCCTCCTGCTGCTTGGTGGCACATAAAATAAACACTCATCTCACAATTAAAGATTTCTTAGTGTTGAGATCATCATCTTAAAAATAATGCAATATGAGGGTGCCTGGGTGGCTCAGCCCTTGAGTGTCTGCCTTCGGCTCAGGTCATGATCCCAGGGTCCTGGGATCGAGCCCCGCATCGGGCTCCCTGCTCAGCGGGAAGCCTGCTTCTCCCTCTCCCTCTCCCTCTCCCACTCCCCTTGCTTATGTTCCCTCTCTCACTGTGTCTCTCTGTCAAATAAATAAATAAAATCTTAAAAAAAAAAAGGCATTGGAAGTTTGATAGAGATTGCATTAATCTGTAGATCACTTTAAGTTTTATTGACAGCTCAGTGGTTTTAAGTATTCCAATGAAAGAACTAGGATATGTTTCCACTTATTTCTTCTTTCAATTCCTGCACAATAGTTTATAGTTTTCATTATTCCAGGTCTGAACTCTATCATTATGTTAAATTGCAAGCATTTTATTTTGGAGGAAGTTACTCTATATTATGTCTCTGTTTTGGGAATTGTTCTTTGTTGCATAGAAACAGAACTAATTTTTATATGCTGGGTTTGCGTTCTCCAACTTTGTAAAATTTGTACGAGTTTTAACAGGTTTATAACAATAAGGATTCCTCAAGAGAGGAAAATAGTAGTGGAGTAGGAGGACCCTAGGCTTATCACATCTCATGAACACCACTAGGCAACTACCAAATTATCCTAAATACCCCAGAAATTGGTCTAAAGACTGGTGGAACAAACTCCCCAAGTAAAAGGAGAGAAGAGGCCACATCAAAGATTGCAGATAGATTGGAGACATGGTTTGGGGAGACAAGGATTATAGTGCTCTGGAGGGCAGGGAGTGGTGTTTGTACAGAAGGTGGCATGACGGGAGCTCACAGGGGAATGCTAAAGGAGAAGGTCTCCCAAAAGCCACTGGCTTGGTAAAGGAGAGGGGCTGAATTTACTAGACATCACAGAATTCATACTGAACAGAAACCTTACAAATGTAAAGAATGTGGCAAGACCTTTAAATTACGCACAAATCTTACTCAACATCAGAGAATTCATACTGGAGAGTAACTATACAAATATAAAGAATGTGTCCAACCGGGGCATCTGGGTGGCTCACCTGGTTAAGCGTCTGCGTTCGGCTCAGATCCTGATCCCAGGGTCCTGGGATGGAGCCCCGCGTCGGGCTCCCTGCTCAGTGGGAAGCCTGCTTCTCCCTCTCCCTCTACCTGCCGCTCCGCCCTGCTTGTACTCTCTCTCTGTCAAATAAATAAATAAAAATCTGAAAAAAAAAAATGTGTCCAACTTCTCACTGGAACTCCAGCTTATTCAAGTTATCATAGAGGAGCAAAACTGTAAAATTTAAAGAACGTGGCCAAGCCTTCAGCTGCCACTCAATCCTTACTCAATATTACAAATACCCACTAGATTCAAACCCTAGAAACATAATGAATGTGGAAAGACCTTTTTTTTAATATATACTGTAGGAAACACCAGAGAGTGCATAAAAAAAAGTAAACTGAAAGATACCAATGTTTAAAAAACTATTTAATTGAACATCAATGTCAATAAATGTCACAGAAATTAAGAAAGCAGTCCATCAGTCAATCTAGTCAGACAGTACTACTTTACATGAAAATAGTTATAAGGAAAAAAAAAAAGTTAAACACTTAAAAATATACCTGCTATTATGTTTCAAAAGATTTAGTGGGAGGATTTTTACTTAGGCATAATTTCAATTTGTGCTTTTTTGTTACATTGACCCTCTTTGAGTTTTGTGACTAACAAATATTAAAGTATTTTGCCCTCAAATCACTTCAGAAAATTCCTTTTTTCCTAGTCGTGTATAAAACGGTGAGGCTGATTGTTGCTACATCAAAGATATTAGATGCCCTGCTTCATTAGGTGGGAATCATGCATACCCAATTTTCCATGGAAGATGAAGGATAGTATAATATACAACATAGGAAGAAAATCTAAATGGAGATGCTGTTTATGGTTATAACACTGATGGAATTTACCACGAAATAGGTGTTCAGAACACATTCTTCTCCATGTATTAAAACTAAAGTACTTCCTGAATATTAGAAATACAGAGTTTTAGGGGCACCTGGGTGGCTCAGTCGTTGGGCGTCTGCCTTCGGCTCAGGTCATGATCCCAGCGTCCTGGAATCGAGCCCGGCATAGGGCTCCCTGCTCAGTGGGAAGCCTGCTTCTCCCTCTCCCACTCCCCCTGCTTGTGTTCCCTCTCTCACTGTGTCTCTCTCTGTTAAATAAAATCTTAAAAAAAAAAAAAAATAGAGTTTTACTAATTGCTCCTTCAGGAAAAAAAGGTGGTAGTCCAGGAAACTATTTATATATTCATAATAGCAATCGTTAGAGTAGAGAGTATGCCTTGATAGGGTTGAAATGAAGAAATCCTGACAGATATCTGAAAGAGCGTAGCTAAGTCTTCCCTACAATGCCATACAATTTTTTTTTTTTAAAAGATTTTTATTTATTTGAGAGAGAGAGTGAGAGAAAGAAAGAGCACAAGAGAGGGGAGCGGGAGAGGGAGAAGCAGACTCCCTGCCAAGCAGGGAGCCCGATGCGGGACTCCATCCCGGGACTCCAGGATCGTGACCTGAGCTGAAGGCAGTCGCTTAACCAACTGAGCCACCCAGGCGCCCTCCATACAATTTTATATACACATTTCTTAAGAACTACCTCAGGCCTGAAATTTATGGAAATTACTACTCCCACATCATTCTAACAGCCCTGGAATGCTTTTTACTGCTTCTATTCCGTATTTTGGTGATAATAGAGTGGCTTTGAAATCCATAACATAATCTATGTGTGAACTTAATCTATTTTAATTAATAAAACACAATCGTTTTTAATGTGTTAACATGGATGTGTAATGAATGATGTGTTCTCCCAGCGCCGAGGTGAACCCATCTCATTTTATTGAAGGTTGTAGGGAACTGATATCTATCAACTATTTGGTAATGGGATGGAATAATATTCCTAGGAATCCATTGTCTCAGTGGCCTTAAGGTTTATTTATTTATTTATTTATTATTTTTTAAAGATTTTATTTATTTATTTGACAGAGAGAGACACAGTGAGGGAGGGAACACAAGCTGGGGGAGTGGGAGAGAGAGTAGCAGGCTCTCTGCGGAGCAGGGAGCCCGATGCGGGGCTCGATCCCAGGACCCCGGGATCATGACCTGAGCCAAAGGCAGACGCTTAACTGACTGAGCCACCCAGGCGCCCCTGGCCTTAAGGTTTAAATAATGTGTGGTTATTTCCCCCCCAGTATTGTATCTTCTTCTCTTTGTGAATACTGCGATATTATTATGGATATATTGCAGATTATGTGTAGGTACTGTTGATGTTTTAGCTCATGCACTCCATGATACGGCTACTTGGCATCCCCTTGGTGTAGGCAGTATTTTTGCAGGGGCCTTGAACTGACACCTGCCCTTCTCACTAGTGTGTTCCCTAGACAATACTCTGTAGAGTCACAGGGCAGTGTAACTTGAGACGTGACAACCCAGTCCACTCTTGTGAGCAACCATCTCTCCTTTTTCCCAAGGCTTTCCCCTCCTGTGTCTCCTGGAAAAGACTCCCACAAGGCTTACCTAGACCTGTTTTAGTTTGAATGGCCTAATCTGGACTTAAACTGGGACTCTAAAGCACTCCACCATGGCCCATAATACAGGTGTGTGCCCCACTTTATATGTGGGGGTGTTGCCTGGACGCTTCCGTAAAGTACATGTGGGCATATGACCATGCTGCGTGTGTAATGGATACCCCAGAAGTAGGAGAAACCAACCCCATAGGAGTGATATTGTAGCCCAGGTAAGAGATAGAAAATATTGATATGATGAGCCCTGGGTATTCTACGCAACTGATAAATAATTGAACGCTACATCTGAGACTAATGATGTGGTATATATTGGCTAATAAAATTTAAAATTAAAAAAAACACATAAGATGAAGAATTAGCATGTGGAGGAGGACAACTGTCGTGAGTTGGACAATGGACTCCCTGGATTGAAAAAAATAACTCCTACTTGTTTTGTGTCCTAGTTATTTCCGGATCTCCAGTTGTATTTTTCCTCATTTTTGTTTCCAGCTACATAGGCACCACAACCTTCTTTTTTGCCTGAGTTGTGGAGAGAGTGTCCTCGCTAAACACTTAAATGAGATTAGAGAGATGGATGGCCAATGGGTATGAATTCAGACATTTAGCCCTGGGACGTGGGATGTAAATATAAGTAAAACACAATGAAGCCACTCTTTTTTTTTTTTTTTAAAGATTTTATTTATTTATTTGAGACAGAATGAGAGACAGAGAGCACGAGAGGGAGGAGGGTCAGAGGGAGAAGCAGACTCCCCGCTGAGCAGGGAGCCTGATGCCGGACTCGATCCCAGGACTCCAGGATCATGACCTGAGCCGAAGGCAGTCGCTTAACCAACTGAGCCACCCAGGCGCCCCCCTTCATGATCTTCTAAAACCTAACTTTCTGATATGCAAAGTCCTTAAAAAATTTTTTTTCTTAAATATTTTTATTTATTTGAGAGAGCTAGAGAGAGAGAAAGAGCATGACTAGGGGGTGGGGTAGAGAAAGGGAGAAGCAGACTTCCTGGTGAGTAGGGAGCCTGATGCAGGACTCGATCCTGGGACCCTGGGATCATGACCTGAGCCAAAGGCAGACACTTAACCAACTGAGCCACCCAGGTGCACATGCACAGTCCTTTTAAACTATCCTTTTAATTCATTCTTTTTTGGTTTATGTCAGTTCAATCCTATATTTTATTTTTGACCTTTAAAAAAGAAAAATTGGGTTTTTTTTGTTTTGTTTTTGTTTTTTTTTTTAAAGATTTTATTTATTTATTTGAGAGAGAGAATGAGACAGAGAGCATGAGAGGGGGGAGGGTCAGAGGGAGAAGCAGACTCCCCGCTAAGCAGGGAGCCCGATGCGGGACTCCATCCGGGGACTCCAGGATCATGATCTGAGCCGAAGGCAGCCGCTTAACCGACTGAGCCACCCAGGCGCCCCAGAAAAATTGGTTTTAAGAAAAAAAAAAATTAAGATTGAGACTGCCTGTGAGTTAGGGGGAGTGGAGGAAAGGGGAGGGGCAAAGGGAGAGGGAGAGAATCTTCAGCAGACTCTTTGCTCAGCCTGGATCCCATCACTGGGCCTGGATCCTGACTCAGGGCTCCATCTCAGGGTTCTGAGATCATGACCTGAGCCAAAATCAAGAGTTGGATACTAACTGAGCCACCCAGGCACCGACTTTTTATTTTATTTTCATTCTAGTTAGTGAACATAAAGTGTTTTCTTAGTTTCTGGTGTACAATATAAGGATTCCACAATTCCATACATCACTCAGAGCTCATAATGACAGGTGCACTGCTTAATTCCCATCCCCTATTTAAGCCTTCCCCAAACCCACTTTCCCTCAGGTAACCATCAGTTTGTTCTCTATCCTTGAGTCCGTTTCTTGATTTTTCTCTCCTTCTCTACATTGTTACTTCATGATTGATTAAATTCCTGGTGGAGAGGTGGATTATGATCACCCCTAAGGGTCTTCTCCTTATTGCTCTTCTGATTTTTCATTATAGTGATAATTCTAATCTGTTCTCTCTTTTGCTTTTGTTGAGATATATGCAAGCAGATCCTGTTCCTTCACCCAGCCAACAGATGATGCTTACTACTCAAAACAAATTCACCGCAGTGTCCCCTCTGGACTCTACAAGAATGGCCTTCTGTAATAGTTACACGTAGGGACAGAGAGGGACCAATTTCGGTCCATGGGTAGGGATATCTCAACAATCCCTGTCACCATGAAGAAGTTACAGAAGATGAGCCCTCACCCTTCCACAGCGTTAAAAACCAACGGACCTATCTATACAATGAAATATTACTCAGCTATAAAAAGTAATGAAATCTTGCCATTTGCCACAGCATGGATGGATGGAGCTACTGTATTATGCTAAATGATGTAAGTCAGCCAAAGACAAATACCTTATAAGTGCACTCATATGTGGAATTTAAGAAATGAAACAAACATGGGAAAAAAAGAGGGGGAAAAAAAAACCCAAAATCAGACTTTTTTTGTTTAAAAGATTTTATTTACTTATTTGATAGCACAAGTAGGCAGAGAGGCAGGCAGAGGGAGAGGGAGAAGCAGGCTCCCCACTGAGCAGGGAGCCTGATAGGGAGCTCGATCCCAGGACACCGGGATCATGACCGGAGCCAAAGGCAGACGCTCAGCCAACTGAGCCACCCAGGCGCCCCTACCAAAATCAGACTCTTAACTGTAGAGAAAAAACTGAGGGTTCTTGGAGGAGGGGGTGCGGGCTGGGTTCAATGGGTGATGGGTGTTAAAGAGGGTACTTGTGATGAACACTGTGTTGTATAGAAGTCATGAATACTACATTCTGCTGAAACTAATATGCTATGTGTTAATTAACAAATTTAAATAAAACTTGAAACTACAAAAAAATAAGGACAGAAAATTGGTCATTGGTGAAATGATGAGAGAGAGCCCAGAAGGCCTGCATAGTTATGATAAAGATCCAATAAGTGCTTGTTGCTACATTCTGAAAGGGTCTCATGGCTTCCTATACATCTCACAAATAGTTAAAATGAATGATAAGCACCTTAGAAATTTTTCAAAAGTAGTTTTATGAGTACAAATTTAAGTAGGGGCGCCTGGATGGTTCAGGTGGTTGAGCTGCCAACTCATGATTTTGGCTCAGGTTATGATCTCAGGTTGTGGGATCGAGCCCTGTGGAGTCAGGCTGCCAGCTCAGTGCAGAGTCTGCTTGAGACTCTCTCCCTCTCCCTTTTCTTTATTTTTTTTTTAAAGATTTTATTTATTTATTTGACAGAGAGAGACACAGTGAGAGAGGGAACACAAGCAGGGGGAGTGGGAGAGGGAGAAGCAGGCTTCCCGCGGAGCAGGGAGCCCGATGCGGGGCTCGATCTTAGGACCTTGGGATCATGACCTGAGCCAAAGGCAGACGCCTAACGACTGAGCCACCCAAGTGCCCCTCAAATAAATTAATCTTTTTTTTTTTTTTAAAGATTTTATTTATTTATTTGACAGAGAGACATAGCGAGAGCAGGAACACAAGCAGGGGGAGTGGGAGAGGGAGAAGCAGGCCTCCTGCGGAGCAGGGAGCCCGATGTGGGACTCGATCCCAGGACCCTGGGATCATGACCTGAGCCGAAGGCAGACGCTTAACGACTGAGCCACCCAGGCACCCTCAAATAAATTAATCTTTAAAAAAATGTAAAGAGGGGCGCCTGGGTGGCTCAGTTGGTTAAGCGACTGCCTTCGGGTCAGGTCATGATCCTGGAGTCCCGGGATCGAGTCCCGCATCGGGCTCCCTGCTCGGCGGGGAGTTTGCTTCTCCCTCTGACCCTCCTCCCTCTCATGCTCTCTGTATCTCATTCTCTCTCTCTCAAGTAAATAAATAAAATCTTAAAAAAAAAAAATGTAAAGAAATTGGTGGAAACATTTATAATCTATTACTCTCTGCATGAGCCCACCCCCTTGAGTGCTAAGCATATAACTACCACCTTCAGACATTAAAAGTGTAGCTCTTATGGGGTCTGGGGGGCTCAGTCAGTTAAGGGTCTGACTTTGGCTTGGGTCATGCATGATCTCAGGTTCCCGGGATAGAACCCTGCAGTGGGCTCCCTGCTCAGTGGTGAGTTGGTTTGTCTCTCTCCCTCTGCCCATCCCCCCGCCCCACAAGTGCCTCACAGTTCATCAGTAGGAGGGCAGGGTAGTCTGTACCAGTTTTTGATTGCCCGCAGTCTCACTGGTGCTACCTACAGATGTTAGGGAGGTGCTTGGGGTTGGGTATGGGAGCTCCAGGGGGAGGTTGTGCCGGAAGGTGTGATTACCATTCTTTATAGGAAACAAAGCATGATGATGTATAGATGTACAAAGAAGGGTTTAGTCCATCATTCATGTAAAGGTGCATGCAGAAATGTAAAGACTACTAAGGGGGCCAGAGGCGCCAAGGCAGGGCTTCAGTGTAAGTTAAAAAAATGTCTTCTAGGTTTGTTCCATGACGCAAATGGCATTATTTCCTTCTGTTGTGAGGCTGATATATATACCAAGAATCAGTCAGATGGAGGACCTGTATCCGGAACAGAGCTGATAATGATGTGGTAAACAAAGGCAGCTGAAAAATAAATTTCCCTACTACTTACAGCCCATTGACAAGTCCTTGAAACAGGAAGAGTGACATTCCTCTAGGGACTCAACTGCCTTGATGTTAATACTTTGCTAAGGGCAAAAGGCAATCCTAGCCTGAACCCTCCCAACCCCCACCAGGATCCTGTAAGTCTACTTTAACATACAAGAATTCCTTTGGAAACTTCCTTTTTCTCTAAACCCACCAAGCTATGTGTTGGCAACCATTCCCCAAGCAGATGGCCCACCGATGTACATTGGAAGGGTCTCATGACTAAGGTTTTATTAGATGGTAATAAATGACCTTTTCGCAACAACCACTACCCCCTCAAGGTCCTAGAAACCTTACTTCCAAAATTCCTTAGAGATTTATGCTATCACAAACCCCCTCCAACTTGAAAGTGTATTATGGGCCACTCCTCATGACCCCAGTGCAGTTCTTTCTGCCCACGGGTCCTGTCCCCAGGCTTTAATAAAATCACCTTTTGCACCAAAGACGTCTCAAGAATTCTTTCTTGGCTATTGGCTTCGAACCCTAACGTTCTTTCCTACATCAATACCAGAGATTCACTTCTTACATCCTAAAGATTTGCCTGCCTGGAGGGACAAACTATTGTTTGGCATACATTTCATCTTTCTTCTCCTTTGAAATATAAGTCCCCTCTTTTGAAATTCTAAATCCTACCTCCTTCTTCTTAAGTCACAGTGACATGTAAGCTTCAATCACCTGTCTTTGACCCTCATGTCTTTCAGGTTCCCATAATTAAGAAATTGTTTTCTCTTGTGAAACTGTCTTACATCATTTTAATTACTAGACTGGCCAAAGAGTTGAGAATGGAGGAAGAAAAGCAAGTTTTCCTCTCCTAACATTCATTCTGTTGTATAAACTGACCTCCCTGCTTCATATCCAGAATTGAACGTGAAGACAGAGTTGGGGATAAAGAGGAACAGTAGTTTTATTGCTTTGCCAGCAAAGGACGCTGCAGCAGGTCAGGGTCTTCAAAACTGCAAGGCCACCGAGAGGAAGGGGCTAGGGTTTTGTGGGGAAATGCAGGATCTAGCCCGTTTCCACAGGAACTGTGTCTGTGCGTCCAGCCCTGTTCATCACGTTGTCAGGGTGGAAGAAGGTTCCTGACACAAAGAGCTGAGAAGTGAGGAGAAGAGGTTTGTGGAGGAGAAGAGAAAGGTTACTTATTTTGAAATGGCGTCTTGCTGAACCATTAATCTAGCCGCTTTTTTCTTTGTTCGTTAAACTTGATGCTTTTCAGTGGTTTTCATTTCAGTCACCAGGACAACTGTTGTAAGAAGACTTTATATTTTACGGGGAGAAACCACTCAATATATTCTAGAATGGGTAAAATAAAAAGGATAATATCAAATTTTCCTGAGAATGTTGAGAATTAGAATTCTCATATATCGCTGATGGGAAGGTAAAAAGCACGTTCGCTTTGGAAAACTGTGTGGCAGTTACTTATGAAGATAAACATTTACATACTGAAAGGGAGCATTTTGTCACCCTAAAATATGTTTCTTTGGCCTAAGCATTATTTTAGGCTGGTTATTTTATTTAAAATTTTTTTTTTCTTAAAAGATTTTATTTATTTATTTGACAGAGAGAGACACAGCGAGAGAAGGAACACAAGCAGGGGGAGTGGGGGAGGGAGAAGCAGGCTTCCCGCTGAGCAGGGAGCCCCAGGCGGGGCTCGATTCCAGGGCCCTGCGATCCTGATCCAAGCCAAAGGCAGACGCTTAACTACTGAGCCACCCAGGTGCTCGTAGGCTGGTTATTTTAAATAAAAGGCAGATAAAGGAAAAGCTCTCAAATCCTGTGTTTACTTTTGAAAGGGACATTTACATTTATTTATTTTTTAAAGAGCCAGGTTTTTGGGGTTTTTTTTTTAGATTTTATTTGACAGAGACACAGCGAGAGAGGGAACACAAGCAGGGGGAGTGGAGGACGGAGAAGTAGGCTTCCCGCCGAGCAGGGAGCCCGATATGGGGCTCAATCCCAGGACCCCGGGATCATGACCTGAGCCAAAGGCAGACGCTTAACGACTGAGCCACCCAGGCGCCCCGGGACATTTGCATTTATAAGGGAAAGCTCCATTTGTAAGGCGTCTCCCTCTGTGTAGCAGAAAGAGGGAGAATGTGTTAATCATCAGAAACTCTGATCAGTGGAGAAGGCATGGATTTAATCTGGACACAACCACATCCTTGGTTACCATGCTTTGCCTGGTCACCTCCCCAGTTACTTCCCAGTAGGATCACGTGTGGAGTTTCCAAAAGGATTATATCTGGTGGCTTCGCCCTCAGATTCTGTCCATTGATTTGGGTGGAAACAACAGTGTTGTGTTAATTAAGGGCTCCAGGTGATTTTCAGTGAAGCCAGGGGTAAGCACGAAGCCTTCAGGTTATTTTATGAGAGTTGAGAGCAGGCTTTGGCTCAAGGAGAGGTTAACAGGGTCTGCCACATGAGTCAGGGAGGCTTAGGTTCATGAAGCACAAGGTTCCTAGGCTGTAGCTGAATTTGTGGGTGGCTGTGGGAGGGGATTTCCTCCCCCCACCCCACCCCTGGAAAGCCATTAAGGAAAAGTCAGGGATTGGTCTCCAAGTAGGAGCTCAGAGTTTCTGAATAGCTCCTGATGCAAAGGACTAGGAAGCTGGGCCTTTTCTGCATTTCAAAGTCTTGCCTGCAGGTTAGCAGTTTCAGGTGGAGAAGCTCTGTTGGTGATTTTAAGGGGATTTTTCTCCTAATGAGGCTGTGATTTCTCCACAGACATCTTGTGAGAAGGAAAACTAGAGGTCGAGGTGAAAGAAGAAATGACCAGTTCTCAGGTAAGCCTGGTGTCCCGGGAGAGACTGTGTCATCTTTTTCTCCGTAGATTCCTTGCATTTAGAAATTTCAAATGTTATGGGGTGGCTGGGTATGGACACTGGGGAGGGTATGTGCTATGGTGAGCGCTGTGATTTGTGTAAGACTAATGAATCCCAGACCTGTAGCTCTGAAACAAATAATACATTATGTGTTAATAAAAAAAGAAAGAAATTGCAAATGTTGATTCCTCTAGTTTGATGTTTCTCCCTTATGTTTTCACCTATTTTTAAGATCTTTTCAGAAGTGATACTCAAGGTTAGGTCTTCAGAATATATCCCAGAGCCTTCTCGCCTGTGTCTCCAACCTGGCTTCCAATAGGGCATCAACAGTTGTCACTTTGGATTAAAGTCCTGCAAGTATTGGAAAATATTCCCTTGGTGGCAGATCCAGAGGGGAAGGCGTTGAGTCCAAGATTCCTGTTGTTGATGAGGTCCGGTGCTGGGAAATCAGGGAGGGAAAACATTTCTCATTTAGGTCCCGTCTGGATGCTTGATCAGCTCTATGTAGCCCAGGAGTAAGAAAATGCACCAATATACCATCCCAAATGGGTATGAGGTCCAGAATAACTGGGAAAGTTATATTCTAAAAAAAGGGGGTGGGAAAGTCTTGGTCTTTAGAATGTGAAAAAGATATTCTTTTCAAACACACTAGAGGTTCCCCCGGCTGTCTCAGTCGGCTAAGCTTGGACTGTTGATTTCAGCTCAGGTTGGGATCTCAGGGTCCTAGAACAGTATCCCGCTTCTGGTGCTGTGCTCAGAGGGGAGTCAGCTTGAGATTTCTTTCTCCCTCTCCTTCTGCCCCTGCCCATCTCCTCTAAAATAGAAAAAAGTCTTGGGCCCCAGGGTGGCTCGATCGGTTAAGAGTCTCCCTTCTGCCTTGAGCTCAGGTCTTGATCCCAGGGTTCTGGGATCCAGCCCCACACCGGCTCCCCGATGGACGGGGAGCCTGCTTCTCCCTCTCCTTCTCCCTGCCGCTCTGCCTCCTTGTGCTCTCTCTTTCACATAAAAAAATACAATCATTTTTAAAAAAATTTTATTTCTTTGTCAGAAAAAGAGTGAGAGCGAGCACAAGCAGGGGGAAGTGCAGGCAGAGGGTGAAGCAAGCTTCCTGCTGAGCAAGGATTCCCCATGCGGGGTGTGATCCCAGGACCTTGGGGTCATGGCCTGAGCCAAAGGCTGATGCCCAACTCACTGAGCCACCCAGGCGTTCCAATAAATACAATCTTTAAAAAGAACAAAATATAGATCTTTAAAAATCAAAATAAAAAAATGAAATAAACTAGCTATTACAGCACATGGACTCTGTGGTGTCTCAGCCAGTCAGATGGGAGCCCCAAACGTGGCTCAGTGATTGGGTGGAAGCCAGTCAAGCGGGCACGGAAAAGAATTCACCTAAGGCCGAGCAAAGGATATAAAAGTTTATGGAATACACTGCAAAAGAGCACCAGGCAGGAGAGCAGAGGATAGGCTGCAAGGAGCACTGGGTGGGGGGTTTTCTTTTTTTTAAAGATTTTATTTATTTGACAGAGAGAGATACAGCGAGAGAGGGAACACAAGCAGGGGGAGTGGGAGAGGGAGAAGCAGGCTTCCCGCGGAGCGGGGAGCCCGATGCGGGACTGGATCCCAGGACACTGGGATCATGACCTGAGCCAAAGGCAGACGCTTAATGACTGAGCCACCCACTCGCCCCCCAGGGTGGGGCGTTATGGCGACAGATGGAACTTTCCCTTTTTTGGTCTATGTCCCTGGTTGTCAGAATCCCATTGGTTAGTTAGGGCCTATGGCTACTGTGAGGTGGGTTGGGCCTGCCCAAACCCAGCCAAGGGGTCGCTGTGGGCCCTTTCTCCATCCCTTTGCTCAAGCCTGCTTGCCTAAAAGCAGCCTGTACAGAAACTGTAGGTGATTGGATTGTGTGTATATGTATATCCACTGTATTTTCATAATTAGATTTATATTCTGAATTACTGTTTTCAGACCACAAGAAATACCAGTGATGGTGTGTCCTTGATGTGCCTTAGGGACTGATACCAATTTCTTTCCGTGCAGCTGCTGTTAACTTCTTTTATTGGCTTGGTGGTCACTGCCAAATCCCTCCCCTGTAATGTTCATATTTTCCCTCTTGTCATTTGTAAGGAACATAATATACTGAGCAATATGCAGAAACTATCACATTTCAGATGTAAACTTCTTTGTTCTGAGTTTCTCGCTAGGAAACATTTTCATATTTGAGAGAGAGAGAGAGCGCGCGAGAGCACATGGGTGAGGAAAGGGGGAAGAGGGAGAAGCAGATTCCGCACTGAGTGGGGAGCCGAACTCAGGGCTCTATGCCAGGAGCCTGGGATCATGACCTGAGCTGAAGAGAGACCCTTAGCCAACTGAGCCATCTAGGTGCCCCTTGCTTGTAGTTTCTGATGAGGAGAACAAAGTCAAAAGAAGTGTGGACGAAATTAAATTTCCTTCAACTTCCAATCCGTTGATAAATACCTGAGATAGGCAGAGTATGACATTTCTCAGGAATTCACAACTGCCTCATGTTAATGTTTTGTTGGAAGCAAAAACAGCCTTAGCTGGACAATAGCCAGACCTCCAGGATCCTGTCATTCCTCTTGAACATAGGAAAATCCCTTTGGAAATGTCCTCTATCTACCACCAAATAGATGGTGGCCATCATCCTTCAAGCATATGGTCCACTGAAAAATACCTGAAGGTCTCATGACTAAAGTGTTACTAGTCAGTAAGTGACCTCCTCATAACACCAGCTAGGCCCTCATGGTCCTGGAAACTTGCTTCCAAATTCCTGAGAGCCTTGTGCTATCCCTCACCCCCTCCGCACTTGAAAGCATATAATCAGTCACTGCTCACAACTTCAGTTCAGCTCTTTCTACCGTCGGGTCCTCTCCCCGAACTTTAAGACTACATTTTTTGCACCACAGCTGCCTCAACAGTTCTTTCTCCATCATTCACTCCTGAACCCCAACATTTCCATCAGAAATGTCTCAAGAATTCTTTCTTCACCATTGGCTCCGCTCTCACATCCCAACAGTTTGCACCGACAAGGAGGGCGCTCTATCAACTCTATCAACTACACAGAGGTTGTGTAGTTGATAGAGTTGACTTCTCGGAGCGAAACTTTCCAGTCAGTCAGCCCTCCATCCCATAGGTTTTTCTTTGACTCCGCACTCACGTCACAGAGAAGGAAACGTCAGGTCTGGTTCTGGGTGGTGACATTAACTCCCTCTTTCATCTTAGGGACCATTGTGAACTCTGCCAGTGGCCACTTGGTAACTGTGGTATTTATTGCAGGGACTGCTGACATTCAGGGACGTGGCCATCGAATTCTCTCAGGAGGAGTGGGGATGCCTGAACCTCGTTCAGCGGGAATTGTACAGGGATGTGATGTTAGAGAACTATGGAAACCTTCTCTTCTTGGGTGAGGATGACTCCTTCCAAATTTCCTAAAGCCCACTCTGGGATTTCTTCCCTCCTGTGTAGACTGTCTCTTGGAAGATTCCTCTTTGAATGATTGGAATTCAGATCGAGGCAGAAAGGGAAATAAGTAGAGGTTTCTGATGTAGTGAAACACCTTCATGGTGTTTCCTTTTCAGCCTTAGCTTCCCCTTCCTCAAAGCAACATCATCACTTCCGTAGATGAGTGGCAATTCTAAACACTTAGCGGCATAGAATGGTACTGCTCACATCTTAAACTGACATTTCCAGTTCTTATGTCTACTACTTGGAAGTGGAGATTAGGATGTGAACATTGGAAATGCCTCCTGTGTGTGTGTGTGTGTGTGTGTGTGTGTTAAGATGTTACTTATTTATTTGACAGAGAAAGCGAGAGCAGGAACACAAGCAGGGGGAGTGGGAGAGGGAGAAGCAGGCTTCCCGCCGAGCAGGGAGCCCGATGTGGGACTCGATCCCAGGACCCTGGGATCATGACCTGCGCGGAAGGCTCAGCTTAACGACTGAGCCACCCAGGCGCTCCTCCTGTGTGCTCTAAAGGGACTGTTGGGCAACAGCTTTTGGGAAACCATTTTCTAGAATTCTACAATATCCTCTCTTCTGTACTGAACACAATCCTGATGGAAATTTAGAATCTACAGCAATACTCATTTTCCTTTTTCCTCATAAACAGGTCTGATTCTGTCAAAGCCAGACCTGATGATGTTTTTGGAGCAAGAGAAGCAGCTCTGGGATGTGAAGAGAAAGGAGACAGTAGCCTTTCATCCAGGTAGGTGGGAATGAATGAGGCAGATGACAGGGGAGGTCCAAAACTGAAGGAGGAAGGTAGGTGTGGTTTGAGTAGCTCTCCTTGAATGAAAATCAGTTGGAGACGCCCAGTTTTATTTCTCTCTCTCTCACAAAGAGACATCTGCTAGCCAACATTCTCATGCTCTTACATTCTCTAGGGATTCTCCTTCAGCTCCAGTGATGGTCCATCACATCCACAGGGAGGGCCAGGGGACTCTCCTGGGAGTGGGAGATCCTCCATAGCCTGAGAGCTTCTCCATAGCTGTGAGGGCCCTGGGAAAATCCTCCTATTTCTGAGGAACTCTATGCTAAGCCCTTGGTAAATTCTATTTTTCCTCATGGGAGAAGTAGGTCAGGGTAGTTGTATGCACATTGGGGTTTGGTGGAGAAATTCCGGGAATACTTGAGACAGATATCTAATGTTTTCTGGTTTATGCTTTCCAATGTCACGGAGGCTTTAATCTTAATCTTGTAAAATTGAGACTCAGTAACTTCATCAGATAACAAAGCACCTCCCTAAAATGAGAAAATGTACTCTTTTATTTCCCTTCAAAAGTTCATTCTTTTTCATATTAACTAATATAGAAGTTTCCACTCTATGAGTTCCATTCCTCAATGATGAAATAATGTAATGTCTCTATTTGTTTCCTAGATTTCCAACATAAATAATGCTATTGTGGAACTAGCACATTTAGAACTCAGAACTTGTAGCCTTAATAAAGTTTCAATGATTACCTTATTTTTTTTATTTTTATTTTTTAAAGATTTATTTATTTGACAGAGAGAGACACAGCGAGAGAGGGAACTCAAGCAGGGGGAGTGGGGGAGGGAGAAGCAGGCTCCCCGCGGAGCAGGGAGCCCGATGCGGGGCTCTATCCCAGGACCCTGGGATCATGACCTGGGCCGAAGGCAGACGCTTAACGACTGAGCCACCAGGCGCCCCTGATTACCTTATTTTTTAATAATCGCATCATTTTATAATTCTGTCTTATATGAAGTTCTTGTGACTTTCTCATGTGTCTTTTCACTTTCTAATTAGTTAATATGAGATTTTTAAAAGATTTTATTTATTAGTGCGAGACAGAGCGAGTGAGAGAGAATGAGCAGGGGAAAGGCAAAAGGAGAGGGAGAAGCAGACTCCCTGCTGAGCAGGGAGCCCAATGTGGGGCTGGATCCCAGAACCCTGAGTTCCTGACCTGAGCCGAAGGCAGACGCTTAACCAACTAAGCCACCCAGGCATCCCAAACCCCATATTTCAAAAGTCGTTTTGTTCAGTAATGTAATTTTACTTCATGGGAATTTAATGATTAGGATTTTCTTTTTCTTTTTTTTTAAAGATTTTATTTATTTATTTGACAGAGAGAGACACAGCGAGAGAGGGAACACAAGCAGGGGGAGTGGCAGAGGGAGAAGCAGGCTTCCCGCGGAGCAGGGAGCCTGATGCGGGGCTTGATCCCAGGAACTTAGTACCATGACCTGAGCTGAAGGCAGACGCTTAATGACTGAGCCACCCAGGCACCCTACATCTTTTAGTTGTGTCTTGCAATCATACCCTAGGTGTGTTGGCAAAGACAGGCAAAGAAGATTCTTGGCATAGAGTGATATGGGAAGAGGTGGAAGCAGTGGCCCTGAGTATTTATACTTAATGAATGACTGGGAAGGGGATGGGGGTAGTGAAGGGCAGGAAGGATGTTATGCTGGGCATAACCCAATACGGATAGTTACCCATAATGAAATCTATTTTATTTAACATTTTTTTTAATTTATTTTTAAAATTTTATTATGTTTTTCAGCATACATTACATCATTAGTTTTTGATATAGTGTTCCATATTCATTGGTTGTGTATAACACCCAATGCTCCATTCAATATGTGCCCTCTTTTAATACCCACCACCAGGCTAACCCATCCCCCCGCCCACCTCCCCTCTAAAACCCTCAGTTTGTTTCTCAGAATCCACAGTCTCTCATGGTTCGTCTCCCCCTCCGATTTCTCCCCTTCATTTTTCCCTTCCTACTATCTTCTTTTTCTTTTCTTTTTTTTTGACATATAATGTATTATTTGTTTCAGAGGTACAGGTCTGTGATTCATCAGTCTTACACAACTCACAGCACTCACCATAGCATATACCCTCCCCAGTGTCTATCACCCAGGCACCCCATCCCTCCCACCCCACACCACTCCAACAAACCTGTTTGTTTCCTGAGATTAAGAATTCCTCCTATCACTGAGATCATATGATACATGTCTTTCTCTGATTGACTTATTTCATGTAGCATAATACCCTCTACTTCCATCCATGTCGTGGCAAATGGCAAGATTTTGTTTTTTTTTGTTTTTTTTTGTTTTTTGTTTTTTTTTAACGGCTGCATAGTAGTCCATTGTATATCTATACCACATCTTTATCCATTCATCTACCCATAATGAAATCTTACTGCCAGAAGAGATCAAGGATATAAATCATTTGGGGGAAAACCCCACCTAAGTCACTTATATTCGTAGAACGATGTCTTTGAACCCAAGGACCCAAATCCACTTTTTAAAACATGAATTCTCTGGAAGGACATCTGGTAATCGTGGCGAGTCACCTAGTCCATACTGAAAGTAATCCTTCAAACCACTTTAAATAATTTATTTTTAGTTATTTGACAGAGCAAGACACAGTGAGAGAAGGAACACGGGCAGGGGGAGTGGGAGAGGGAGAAGCAGGCTTCCCGCTGAGGAGGGAGCCCGACGCGGGGCTGCATCCCAGGACCATGGGATCATGACCTGAGCCGAAGGCAGACGCTTATCGACTAAGCCATCCAGGCGCCCCAAGAACAGTCTTTATAAAGGCTAAAACATAAAGGACATAAATAATTGGTAAACTGTAATGGAAAACAAATCTAAATAACATCAGAGAATTCACAACAGAAGTGAAAACCACTTTTCAGACATGATTACTTTTCTTTTTTTTAAGATTTTATTTATTTGAGAGACAGCCCATGTGCGGGGGGAGGGGCAGAGGGAGAGGGAAAAGCAAACCACTCCCCTCCTGCTGAGCAGGGAGCCCAATGCATTGCTGGGTTGGATCCCTGGACCCTAAGATTATGACCTGAGCTGAAGGCAGGCACTTAACCAACTGGGCTACCTGGTCACCCCTCAGATGTGATTCTTAATCAGAATCTTTATTATAGAGAGAAAACACTAGATCAATTTACATTTTAGCTATGGACAATGTAGGAATGAGGGGAGCTAACCCCTCCACAGTTGAAAATTTCTGTGTATCTTTTGAGTCCCCAAAACAAAACCATACCTACTTTTTTTTTTTTTAAAGATGTTATTTATTTATTTTGACAGAGAGAGAGAGACAGTGAGAGAGGGAACACAAGCAGGGGGAGGGGCAGAGGGAGAAGCAGGCTTCCCGCCAAGCAGGGAGCCCATGTGGGACTTGATCCCAGGACCCTGAGATCATGACCTGAGCCGAAGGCAGACACTTAACGACTGAGCCACTCAGGCGCCCTAACCATACCTACTTTTGCATGGAAATAGCCTCTTGCTGACCAGAAGCCTTACCTAGATCGTGAACAGTCATCGCATTCTTTGTATGTGGTCTGTAATATATACCTTATTTTTATAATGAAGTAATTTGAGGAAATAAAATATTAAGGCAATCATAATGAAGAGAAAACACATTTACAGGAGTGCAGTGTATTTATCAAAACAAACTCATCTGTGTATATAAATGGACCCTTACTGATCAAAAGCATGTTAACTGTGTTTGTTAATATATCTGAAAGGATCCAGGCGGAGATGGTTAACTGTGTTTGTTAATATATCTGAAAGGATCCAGGCGGAGATGGATATCTAGAGATGGATAATTATTTTCAGTGTGTTTCTTTTTTTTTTTTTTTGACTATATTTGAGATTTTCTACATGCAAATGGATGTCAAAAGAAAGCCATAGTAGCAAAACTTTTATCAGATAAACTAGCCCTTTATCTTTTGGTATTGTGTATATCCTGCTTTGGTATCAGGGTAAGGCTGACCTCATAGAATGGTTTTGAGTGTATTTCTCTATTCCAGTATTTGTTTTTGTTTTTGTTTCTTTTAAAGATTTTATTTATTTGACAGAGAGACACAGCGAGAGAGGGAACACAAGCAGGGGGAGTGGGAGAGGGAGAAGCAGGCTCCCCGTGGAGCAAGGAGCCCGATGCGGGGCTCGATCTCAGGACCCTGGGATCATGACCTGAGCCGAAGGCAGACGCTTAACGACTGAGCCACCCAGGCACCCCTCTATTCCAGTATTTGTAAGATTTTTTTTTTTTGCTAAGATTTTGAAAAAGATTGTCATGAGTGATTTTTTTTTTTTTTAATATTTTATTTATTTATTTGACAGGGAGAGAGAGACAGCGAGAGAGGGAATACAAGCAGGGGGAGTGGGAGAGGGAGAAGCAGGCTTCCCGTGGAGCAGGGAGCCCGACGTGGGGCTCAATCCCAGGACTCTGGGATCATGACCCGAGCCGAAGGCAGACGCTTAACGACTGAGCCACCCAGGCGCCCCTCATGAGTGATTTTTTTTTTAAGATTTTATTTATTTGCGAGAGAGAGAATGAGAGACAGAGAGCATGAGAGGGAGGAGGGTTAGAGGGAGAAGCAGGCCCTCTGCTGAGCAGGGAGCCCAATGCGGGACTCGATCCTGGGACTCCAGGATCATGACCTGAGCCGAAGGCAGTTGCTTAACCAACTGAGCCACCCAGGCGCCCATGAGTGATTTTTTTTAAATGTTTGTTTCTTTTTCTTGTACTGAACCATGGCTGACCATCTAATGTCCAGGGGTACTACTTGACAACTGCTAACTGAACAAAGTCACTACAAATATAATGATAAGCCATAGCTACAGAATTCTCAAGGACTATTATTATAAAATTTATAAAATTTTACCCTATATGTTTCTCCTGTTCTTGTGAGCATAGAGAACACAAGCAGAGTTTCATGGTTT